AAAAACACATCTTAGTAAAACCAATACTTTTTTTTTTATAATTTTTTTTTTGTAAATCTGACTCTTAATCTGCCCACAGGGGGGATTTAAAATGACAACTTTTTCACAAAAAATTAACTATTTCAACTTAACTTTTTAAAATGTTCCGGAAAGTCTGACACTTTTATCTATATCTTAAATTAAAGCTAATGTAATATACTATTTTATTTAAAAAAATGTCGGACTTTATTTTGTCTTTACGGTGAAAATGGCTATCGAATGCTATTTTTGTGTAAAAATTCTCGATTTTGTATTTTACATTTTTAACCTTATAATGATATAAATTTTTGAAAAATGTATGGATCAGCACAATTTTTTTTATGAGAAATAATATTTTTTAATAATCCCTTTTTCATTCTTTATCTTAATCAGGATATTAATAAGGAAATAGCAGATCATGTAACTTTTGGATTAATCCACCAATTTTTTAAAAATAAACACAAATTTTGAACTTGTAAGATTCATAGAATAGGATACTGTCTAAGGAGGAGTGGAGGGAGCCCCCCACAAGCTTTTCATGGGAAACAAATTATGGAAAATGATACAAGGGCCCAAAAATTGTTGGCCCCTCCAATAAACATTTTCTGGCTACGTTCCTGATGAGATCTTGTGGTAATGGTGTCGAACATCTGAGTATGACGAGTCAGAGTGTAAATCCAGGCGCGTAATGGCAGATGAGAACAGACAACGGCAATGATAATGTTTAGTGATGGTCAGGGCCCAATCACTAGTGGCGTGCAAGGGCATGTAAACTTTGAGCACAAAGGTGCAATAAACAAGTAATAAAAAACTATGGCGTATAATGGCCGGACAATTTTACCATTCAAGCGAAGGCGCTTGCAATAGAAAAAAGTGACACAAAAAACAATTGACTGACTGACTTACGACAATAAACTGTACACGGATGAAAATCTACACGGAGGTCATCGATTTGCCGTGATGTGTGGGCAAGGGGGCGAGTAAAGCAAGATGCTGGTGATCAGCTGTCCCACGAAATAATATAATCAACGATCTTTGTAACAACTGGTCAACTAGATCCTTCTAAAGGCGTTCTGTACCATACAACATCTGTTGATGTTAATTGGAAATGAATGAAAAACACTAGGAGCGGTCTGGACACTCGCTTCTTAGCGTTGGCTAGAGGAAAAAGGAAACACACTTGCTTTCAGCACATAAATAAAATTCAGTTAATTTATAAGATTATTTTATTATCACGGGCGGCTTCATTTGCCGAACGAGAGATCAGTTCTGTAATGGAGTCGCCATACCTTTCTCTGGCGACGGACTAACCACCCGTCCCTGAGTATCAATGGTTAAGAAACCTCCTCCTTTGGGGAGGTCGCTACAGATCTTAATGGACTTATAAAGCGTTAAAAAAAAAAAAAAAAGTTAATTTATAATAAAATAAAATAATTAATAAAATATAGCTCATTACATAAATATAATATATAAAAGAAAACGATACCCGGTCTCCGAAGAGACTCATCCGATGGTCTGGATGCTTCGCCGAAAAGACTTGGCCCTTCGCCATTGGCGGCTCTACTCCATCATTGAAAAAATTAGTACAAGAAAACAACAAGTGATCCTTCTAACACGGTCAATGACAGAAGAAGGATGGAGAAGGGCCAACACTGATCGAACGGCAATTTCAAATTGATAACGGCCAGTCTTTTTGGAAAGGATAAATACCGATAAACAATTCGATTTTAATTATATTTATTCTCTTTTGTTGCCTTATTTAGCGGTCAACTTTAATAATAATGAGTGGTTGACACCGCTGTGTCAGAAAAAGGTTCATGCGCCATAAAATAAATAAGTAGAAATAACAAAAAAATTATAAACGGTCCACTTTCGAATTTGTGACGTTACCACATACATCATACATTTTTATTACACAATGTATTTTAAGTACAAACCGTACATTTTGTTTTATTCCAAGTGTTTCATAAATTAAATCATGTATTTTAAATACATTGACTGTTTAAAAAGTAAGAGCAATAGGTTTCTATTGTTTTTATTGTAAATAGAATTTACCTAAAGGGCGTTGGAAAAATAGTAGTAGTATATTTTTATTCCATTCTGATTTTATCGATCGATTTATTAGTTTATATAGTAGTAGTATCAAGCCATAATAACATCAATATGTATATAATAAAATACATTCTGTTGAAAATTATATCTTACAATAAGATATAATTTTAAGGGTAATAAATTCTAAGGGTATCTCAGTTATTTAGGAATCTATTAGTGTTTTTTTTATTAAATGGTAAAATGTATAAATAAAACTTTTATAGGTTAATAACAAGTATTGTATTATTACATTTTAAATTGTTATAATTTTTAGTTATAGGTGAGTGGTGTGATCACGTAGGAAAATTCATATCTTTGCATTATGGTAAAAATATAGTGCCGTTAAACACTATTCTGTTCTAAATCTCCAAAGGCCATAATCTCTAAAAGTAATAATACAAAACTGGTTATTGACTTACTAAATTTTATTTAGATCATTCTTCAATTAATAGTAAAAAAAAAAATAATAGGTTCCTATTAATATTTAGAAAATTATCCCTAAAACTACTGTTAATAATAATTAATGTCTCATATGTGAATATCTGAACTACCACTTAAGTATTCTTACAGAGTTATAAATTTTATACTCATTATAAATATTTATGACACTATAAAAAGTAAAAATGTATCCTATAAAAGGTATTATTAACTTCTTTTAAAGGCAGTTTTTATGCATATTATATTTGAACTTCTTAGTTGCATAAATTACAATGAACTTACATATTAGGCGTATCATTATGTTGAATGCATTTTTAATTTATTGTTATAAAAACATAACCAGTAATCTTGAGTTTTTATGACAGATACTTATTTTTCTGTGCACTTATGTTTTACATTTAATTTGTTATATTCATATACTTAAATATTATTTTATAAAAAAATGTTCATAGTGTTTAAAATTTCAATTTCAAAGTTTATAAATTTACTGAGTGTGCAATTTTTTGCAATATCTCACTATAATTATCATACAATATTTGAACAGGATTTGATTTACAATCATCACTTAGAAATTACACATAACATTATTATAATATATTATTTTATATAAACAATAATAATAATATTAAATATCCAAACGAACAACATAACGATTCCGCGTAACAAATTATTTGAGTTTTATGTATTATAAAGGGTTTTGCAATAAATAAAAAAAAACATTTTCATCACAAATATTTTAGCCTTCGCCCTTTCTAATCCTTATTTCTCTCACTCGTACATTTCATTCTTTTGACGTGGTTATTTATCACATATAACACTTTCTTCAATGCGTTTTCTGTCATCAATTTTTATCTACTACCTACTATCACTTAAATGTGTTAAACATTCGATTTATACATAATATATAAGGTTAAAGGGCGAAGTTTACATGGTAATTGGTCAGAGTTACAACAAAAGTGAACGAAGAATATAACATATTAATATACAAAAATGCATAACACTTGTATATGTATATAATTATTTAGTGCCAATGATTAGGTGGATTCAAGTCATACGTTTTAGAGTGAAAAGCTCATACCGCTGAATAAGCTTCATTTTTAATTAGAACAAAATGAGCTTTGTAGGCTCGTTCAAAATTTCGAGATGAAAAAATTCATGTCGATGATACCAAATATAAAGATTATTAGTCATAACATGGTAATAAAATTATAATACATATTTTATAAAATCTTTAAACATTTATACAACCAAGGTAAACTTATAAATACTAATAAAAATCATATCGTTAGCGTTCGTCTTCTTAATTAATTGGAGGACGAAAGCGTTTTAAATGTTATATACAATTAAACATAAAATAGGTAACGTGGAATTTGATGCCGAGCAAATAGTGGCGGTTATTAAGAATATTTTGCTTGAAAACGCAATACTGAAAATGAGTGGAAGTAGAATGTGGAAATGATACCTAAGTAGAGGCATTTAGTTTGATTTTTTAAAATAATTTTTAATAACATTAAAAATCGTGGCCAATGGTAATTTATACTTCATATTAAGTTTTAATACTTATATATATACATATATATATATATATGATATATAGATATATTAAATGAATGGTTATAAATGAATAAGCGGAAGTTGGCAACTATAGTGAACAGCATACTAAACGATTAGATTGTTTTTTGTTTTTGTCGGGCTATGACAAGGTGCCCTAATTTTTTTTGTTTTTGTTTTCGTTTTTTTTTTTATTTTTTTTTTTTTTAAATATTATGATATTATTATACTCTGTTCGAATGAGAAGCACGTCTCTGAATATTGGCTGAGTGAACAAAGGAGGGATTAAGTAATATTTTTATTCATATATTTTTGATTCCAACAGGAAAATAAGATTATTATTCATATTAAACCGAACATACATACTAACGTCATATAAAATATGAATAAAATGTTTTTATATTTATATCAATTTGTGAGTGTGTATAATGGTATTGAAAAATATATAAGCTAAATGTCATTAAAAAAAGTGTAATATTACAAGTAACTAACGATGCATATTTTCAAATCAATTAAATGATTCAAATAGATATTAGCTATTATCACAAATATGTATTAGTGTTAATTAGTGAAATTAAGTGTTGGTTGTCTAGAACATCAAAATTATTATGTTTAAACATTTATTAATGTACGCGAGTGCACCCACTAATTAATATAATTTATAAAATTGTTACTCTTCAATACCAATAAACATTACAATGGTCACTACTGTTAAGTCATTTTGGTAATTTATACGCATGTAATTTTGATTAAAATAATCATTATTTTTAGAGATCATATAGTGCTAATCGTATAATACACAAATTGTTTAAATCTAAAACGAATGGTCTAGAAGAATTATTTGGTCATAAATTTTCATCGTTAATCATTTCTGCTATTCATAATTTATATTAACTTTCAAGTAAAATAAAAAATAAATATATTCTCTTAATATAATATACAACAATAAACTACACTCTTATGAGTAACGTTCCGCTTTCTCTGACGACAGGGTAAACAAATGATACACAAGGGCTTACAGATTGTGTTCTGCGTTATGTTAGTGGCATTATGGACGGAGAAAAAGAAAACAAAATGTATTTAGGGTATCGTTTATGCAAATAGGAAATTTACAAATGCGGTAGTGGTAATTTGTCTCTGGTGGTGTCCACGTGTAGAAACACTACACAACCCAGACAATCGAAGCAGATCACAGAGTTAAGGACGGTAAAATTATTCTGGGGTAGAAAAGTACAATATGTTTATGTAGCATAATATTATTATAATTCGGCGTCGTGGATTGTATGCATCAACGTTGACCGATCACCAACAGCGGTCGAGTTTGCGAATTCGACTGTCGTCGGCTGTACGAGCGGTCATCATCATATCTCATCTCGTAGTCTAAAGGCAAAGCTGAAACAACAAATAAACTAACAGATTAATAGAACATATTGGAATTATTTAGTCTTAGTTAATGTCTTGTTGTATATATTCAAATTTAGCTTTTAACGTATTTAGTTTGTAGTACTTTATTGCTGTATCAAAATAATTATAACCTTACTTAATGTTTTTGCTTCCTTTTGTAAAATTGCCTGTTTAGGCGTTAGAAAAATAAAAATAAAAAAAAAATTTAGAAAAAAAAATGTGCAGCATATTGAGAGACTTTGTTATTTCATAGTGTACTTTTATTTTTGGTTATTCATTTTCATTATTGTTCATACTTTGACTGTTAATTAATAAAAACAGTAAAAAAAACTTCAACGAAATATTTAGAAATTTGAATAAAATGAAAAATAAAACCAAATAAATAACACAATGAATAAATGGAACTTTTTTTCTTTGAGTTGGAGTAAAAAAAACTTTTTTAAAATTGAATAAAAATAAAGTACGAAATATACAACGTTCGAACGGATTATGGAGATTATTAGTAGTAGTATTTTTTTTTATATAATTTGTTTTCAAATATCAAAGAATACATTTAAATTGCAGTTGTTTTGTTTACAAGCAAGTTGTTTACTTTATTTTTATAGATATTTATTAAGTCCTTTGCAGAAAGTTCTACACCGAGACAAATAGTAAATATTTATCGCATAAATTTAAAACGGTCCATATACATTTATTCAATCAATTACTTTAAGTTTAAAATAAAACAAGGCCATTTAATCAAATGAAAAACACCATATATAGTTAATTAACTTATTGCGGCAAACGGTTTTCAGGGAATATTTTCAAAAGGTAAATGTAAGACCTTAAAAAGACAGTTTAACATTAAAAATTTAAACCCTTCAGCACAAAAACACAGGTCTATAAAGTAACATAATTAATAGTTATTAAAAACAGTTTATCGGTCATAATTTATCAATTAATCGGTTACGCGGCACGATGGATAGGCAAAACAGGTACACTTATGTGTTCAAACGCTGTAAACAGTGACGGTTCGATATTGCAAACAAGTTGCACTGGTTTTTTAACAATAAAACAAGGAAATTAATGATTTTACTTGATTAATGCGCAAGAGTGTCAACTCGTAGGAATAATGAGGATATATCTTGTGGGGATTTATTATAAGTACGAGTAACGCATAATGCAATAATGTTTTTAATCTGTATTAATAGGATCACTCATAAATTATACACAATGTTTAGTTATGAGTAATGTTATTATGACTAAGTAAATTATTTGTCAAGATACGGTAACAAAGTTATAGATATCAAAACGATAATGATACAATCAGTTAAGTATTGAAGCGAAAAGCGCATGAGAGTTTTATTGTGAAACTTTGACATCATGAAAGGTATAATTCTACTTTATCTACACGTAAACTCTGTTTTAATAAATTTTGCGAGTTGTCAAGAGTGACTGGAGATACAATTATTAACTTTTACTTTGTCAATTCTTATTTATTAATTGTAACCTTAAGTTTGTTAATTTCGAGTGTGTTTAAACTTTTCTGGTTCATTATAATACACTTGAAATAATTTTTATTTTGCCATCACTACTGATGGAAAAAATATTATTAAATAAAAAAATATACATTAAACAAATTTTAATAAATAATTATGAATATTTACAAGGGCTTAAGAAAGGTCGTCGAGACAGAGAGAAGCGATGCGTTATGTATCGCTCACTCGATTGTCACACCTCTTGCAAGAACTTCACGGGACAGATGCCCTGTTTGTTCTCTGCATTTCTGATTACTACCATGCCGTCTAGTTCTTCGCCAATTTGAATAACGATCTGAAAGCAATTAAAAAATAATTTAGATACACTGTTTGACTTGACATTAAAATGTAATTAAAAAAATTCATATATTTTCCTAGGGGAAAATGTAGATAATTAAAAAAAAAAAATTTACTTTTTATTTTATATATTTTGTAGGATAAACTACATTTCAGTAGTACGATGAGTATATAGTTTTGGTAAACAGAGATAGGAAAATGACATTACAGTAAAGGATTAAGACTTCGGTTTAAATTAACTGATAAAATGTGTTATTATTCAAAGAGACTATCTTGGTAAAACATCCGAATTTAGAAATTAAACAGTGTTGCTTTTATTATGTAGGTCTCTCAGTCATTTTAAATTAAAATCACTTGGTAATTAATGGTTAGTAAAATATTTTTATCATTTAATATTTAATTGTATACGTAAATAATTATCGGTAACACATTGGAACACGGTAACCGTCATAGTATTTTAATAATTAATGAATTTACCTAAGTGCATTCAAAACTAAAGCATACGTTTTATATGTTATTTTTCTAGCTTAATCAAATAATATCTTGTAAACACTAGTCAAAATAATTTTCAACTATAACTGTTAAAGTTTTTTTATAAAACAACAAAAAAATAATTACTTTATTTTTTAAATATTATTATTATTTTTAATTGCCTCAATAAAACCTAAATAATAATTAAACGTTGAACAGAGATATCACTTCGACGTAAATTTACATTTTTTTTTTTCAAGACTTTAACGTGGATGTAATGACAAAAATAATTAAAACAAAGGTTACAAATTATATAGAAAATAAAATAAATTGGGTTATTCTTTATTATATGAATTATGGACCAAAATTTGGTTACAAAAAAAATAGAGTTCATGATTGTACCGAAAAATCAATGTCCCTTCCTTACCAACCTTTTTTGGAATTATACAACACCCAGCAAACCGTTTTTTACTTAGTGTGGCAGTATTACTGTATATAGATAGGACTTACTTTTTTTTATTATAATTTAATTTGAATACAGATTGCTTCATTTACAACTTTGAATTATTTAAGTAACCTTAATTTTATACTTATCTGTGTAAAATATCTTTGGCTAAAATCGTTTTCATCTGAGTTTTCTGTTTAATTTTATAATCAGAACAAACTCATTGATTTTTTTCTATTACGATTATTCGGCTGCTTAGTCAAAATGATTTAAAAGCTGTTTTACTTAAAAATTACGTTTAAAAAAACTGATGATATTAAAGTATCGATTGAACCTTCACAAATGGCCATTAGATAAAATTAAAAGAAACGGGAAATTATTTTTTACCTTAAAGTCAATTATGAAACAAGATAATCGATAAGTAGGGTTATTTGTTATTTAAATTGCCAAACAACTAAAAATACATCAAATTACTATTAGGAAAATAAATATATAGAATATTCGTGTATAATATGTCGCGTTCAAGAATTATTTATCGAAACGGATAGAGTTTTTTATATTTATATTTATTTTTCTTATTAACTACACATTTATTATAAATTTAGATTTTTTCTCGATTAAAAAATAATTAATAAATAAATATATTTTCAGAACTCTGTTCTGATATTTATTTTCTATTACAAAGTTATTATTAAGGTATAATAATATGACGATGTGAATACAATGCAGAGTATTTTTTATGGAATTAAGGAACAAATGCATTTTACCACCCCATCGAGTTTTTTCATTTTTTTTTTTTAAACGTGTATTTTTCAATGCTTTTTTCAAAAGTGTTTGAAAAAATTGTCAGAAAAAAATGGTTCATAAGTTATAGCTTTTTAAAGTTGAAACGTCAAAAACTAAAAATAGCTCAAAAATTGTTTTTTTTTTGTTAATTTTTGGGATTTTTTCTCATAATACTATTGTGAAACTATAATGACGTAATTATTACATAATATCCTCATTCTAAAAATCCTAAAACCTAAATCATCTTTAACTACATCATCGAGAATACTTTTTATAGTTAATTAATGAAAATTATCAAAAAAAAACAGCAGTATATAACAAAATTTGTATATGATTATTGAAATCTTTGAAAGCTCATAACTTTTAAACTAGACTTCGCCGACAAAAATTTTTTATATATTCTTAGTCGGTATGAAAAACTAAATTGATTTAAAAAAAAAAATTTGAAAAATCTCGATGGGGTGGTAAAATGCATTTAAGCCGGAATTAATATCAGATAGCATACATATTGTTTACAGCAATTGACCGGATTCCTTATTTCCTTACTTTTTGAACACTCTGTATATTTATGTAAAAGTTTTAATGAAGTTTTTGTTATTGTGGTCTGATTTATAATCCAGATAAATTTCAATCTACAATAGATCACAAAGATGTTTCTCCAGTACATAAATGTCAAACAAATACTTGCTAAAAAAATATGCTGTATCTCATATTATTTCTATTTTTAAAAATAACTAGGAGTCACGTTTAGAACAATTTCTCAACTATCAGTGTATATAATCAACCGATTTTCTATATTGATTATATTACCTACATTTATTAACAGATGATAATTTTATGTAAACGATAGTAATAATTTTGCTTTCGGACAGTAAAATAAACTATTTTGTTTCAAATAATGTTCCTTTTCGTGTAATTAGTCCACTTTTTACAGAAAAAAACGTTCTTTTGCTGACGGGCAAACATAAACGAATGCGATGCCGTTATTAAACAACAAAACGAGAATATATTTTTTATCTCGAAGTAAACCTGGTTCATTGTGGAACCTTAATTAATCAATTATTGGCTATTGCTTTTAAAACGCTTTTTGGCAAACGTACCTGATCCCTGAGTAATGTTAGTCCATTGTCGCCGTCAGACACTTGTAAATTATGAGTGACCTGCAAAGGTCTCTCGCCAGGTTGTACTTTGGTCACGTAGTTGTACGGGAAATAACCGACACGGCCGAAGCACTTGCCTTTCCACCAGGCCGGGTCCGAAGTGTCGATAACTGTTACTTTGTATCCCGCTCTGAAACAATAAGGTGCGTTTTATTGAGTTAATAATGAAGGAACGATTGTAATTTATTGAATCAAATTTAATCGAATAATGTCTAAGACTGTCACAATAAAATCTGACTTTATTTCATTTTTTTTTTTACCAAACGACATCTATAATACTTGAATATTATTTTAAACAAACAAATTGTTATTTACAACATTTAGGTGTAAAGGTTTTACCTGCGATGGTAAATAAAGTGTTTTATTCAAGTAAAAATCTATTAATTTTTCAACCCTTTGAATTGACAAATTATTTTGAATTATTAAGATAAATGCTAAAAATATCAAAGAAACAAAATTTATAAAACGAAATAAAATTTGATAGTTAATTAAGAATAATTTGATGCAAATAATCATAATAATGTATATCTTATTTAAAGGTGTTCAGTTGTATGGCGTGGCGCCTTTATTGGCATCACGCGATATTGTAATGTATAACAGTTCATTTTGAAATGCCATTGGTAAAATTTTTAAAATGCAATAAAATACAATATTCAGTTATTTTTATAATATTGTATGCCTACCGGAAAAGTATAAAAAATATATGAACATGTATTGGGCACGTGAATGAACTTGCTGCGAGCGTTTATTTATGAGACTAGGAATGATATAAAGAATTTAATATTCACTTATATAAACAGCGAAATACGAGGGAACTTTGATGTACATTACATGATAGCGGTGAAAAATGAGAATGGAATAACTCAGTCTCTAAATGTTCAGACTTAAATGTTTCAAAATAGTTATGCTCTCATTAATGTATTCTAATAAAATTAAATTCCTTAAAACTATGTACGATTGTATTAATTTTAAAGTTTGAAAAAGTAACTATTGAATAAATTATGGTGTAAAGGTCAAATTACTGTAAGATTTTAAGTTTACAGCGAAATGAAATAATTATTTTTAATTAATTATAAAATGTTAATTGGAGGATTCCTCGAAAAAATTCATTAATACGCTACAAATAAATATTTTGCCTCTTCCACGTGTTAAATAATATTTTTAAATGAATTTAATTAATGAAAGATAACTAATGCTTCATATCAGTTATATTATAATGTAATTTAAATGATATTTTTACTTATTTACTGAAACTCGAAAAAAAAAAAATTGCGGAAATGTGAAGGCTTTCCATTAGAAAAATGTCAAAAGATAATGTTTACTCTTCCTCATAATTATGATAAAGTAAAATTATAATATTTTCTAATTATTATATATTTTGAATAATATTTTAACACTTAATACCACTTGACAAAGTTGAAGTTTTATAAAACTTTTGTTAATTTTGAAGTTATGCTCAATTAAATTACATTTGAATGGTATACCATAATCACATTGAGCTGATTGATAATATAATATTTTTAAATACAATACAATTAAAATAATGTTAACTATATAAAATCTCTAATATTAATTTACGCAATTGAATGTTTAATTAAAATACGTCGAAATTCATATTTCAAACATTTTACAGTACACTGAATCGTCGGCAAAATAAATTAATTCTTTGAATTTTATTTATTATTCTTAACGAGAATGAACAAAATAACAATAATATTAACCCAACCAGGTAATGCGTTTTAGTCTTTTATAGAAGTATATAAATTATTGCGAATTTAACAATCCACCCCGAAAATGTTATCTGCTATGAATGATATATTTGTAGCTATCTAAAACAATGTTTTGATAAATACTGTCGGCGTGGTTACGGTTAGCAATGGTCAATTCTACTTTTATACAGAAATATAAATAAAATGCTTTGCTTTAAAAATCGTAAAAATATCCCCGTGAGCAATAAACCATATAATAAATAATGATTACACTTGTAGGTATTCACAATAATTGCATTATGCTAGTAGCGTTTACCACATTTATTTATTTTAGATATAGTAGATTATTTTAATAATAAATACTCAAAAGCTCAAATATATGCATTTAACGCGAAGATAATACATTTGCAAAAAAGGCGAATGAGTAATTACTCATTCACCTTTTATGTGCACATGCATTAATGCATGTATAATTCTGACATGTACAGATAATATTAACTGTACCTAAATTTGCCTTACGCTATTCAATACCAGCTCATGGGCCAAAGTAAATATGTAGAGTACTCACTTCAAGTCTAGTTCGTCCTCTCGGCGAGCCTTAAAGTTGTAAAGCACCACATATAAATTGTTTGGTAGTAGTCTGTGCGGTTTCTGTTGGGAAAAAGGAAAAGATAAGATTATTAAAATGTATTCAGTTAAAAAATAAAATGTGTATGTGGCGCGTGCAAATAAGTTTGTGTGTACTGAAATAAAGAAGAGAAGAAGAGACGGCTGCGATTAACAACATAGAATTAGATAGAGACAGCAACTGCGTACACATTAGTTAATTAATACTGTACTTGTGGATATCTCACCGGCGACGGGCACGGAGAGGTGCTGGCCGATGACAATGACTTATCGTTGTCGTCTGGTAGCTCCACTGAACTCATTCGTATGTTTCTTGTGGTAAGTAAACGACGATTGTGGACGGGACTAGAAGGAGCTGTAAATATGGACGAAGAAAACGTGAGATTCATTAATAACACTACGATAATACAATGTTTTTACAATATTATTATTATAAATACAATGTGTGTGTAGTTGGAAAATAGATTGAAAGGTTTAGTGCAAATTACGAGGGTACGGTAATAATAGTGCAAGATTTGACTACTATGTAGTTGATATTTAAAACTGATAATTGAATAAGAATAGTCAAATATACTTGATAATCATGTATATTTTTAATTCATTTAAGCTATAAAAAAAATGTATTAAAGAGGTTTCAAGAAAGTTACGCCTAGTACACAAACTATGTATATATATATATGTGTGTGTGTGTGTGTGTGTGGACATGTTTTCTAAAGCTTTTGTATAAATAAATAGTATAAAATTTTGACAAGTCGGTATTTTTCTTGTCTAATTTTTAATTGTATATTGCTATACTCCCTCCGTCGTTGAACACTGCAATAAAACGAATGGAAAAAAGTTTTAAACACATGTGTTTTAACATGCGCCCTACCGAGGTCATATAGACTCCCGACGGTCTTATATATTATTATGTAATATACATAAATATACTTCTGACTACTTTGCAATGCCGTAATATATAACATATACCTACTGAACTACGCTACACGGTTTACACATTCAATATATCAAATTGTTTAGCAAAACTATCTCTCTTTCTCTTTTATTAATAATAAAATTTGTTTATCAAATATAAGAACAAAGCGAAGCGTTTTGAATATATTATTACTATTATGCTTGTATAAATATTATATCATTTTGAGCTTTTATACTATTAAACGTAATGGCCGATATAAACGAAAAAACAATAAACACCATGTAAATATTACACCATATGAGTCGGGCCGCCATAATTTCATAATTTTATTATGTACGTTTATGATGTACATTGCATAAAACTACAGAAAAAAAAAGAAAAATCACGGCTGTCCGCTCAGTGTACGTCTAACAACTGCAAAGAAAAATAAAACGTTTTTCAGTTCAAGTATGAACATAAAGCCATTGTCCGAACAAGCATGCAGTAAAAATATTCAATTCGTTCAACACGACCCTTTTGTTCTTCAAAATAGATTTTTTTTTGTAAGTCTCATGCTGCCGTTACCCGACTGTTAACCCCGAAAATCACCAAAACGATGCACACCTTTTCATTCTAAGCTTCCACTCCCACGGATGACGTGCGGAAACACAGAAATTTGCAAAACATACTGTCACATTAAGTGGGTACAACGAATGTAACGATAAAAAAAAATTCTAACGTAATTATATTGTTTACTCTCGACCACCATAATATCATCAAACACGCATCACACACACGCATGTACAACTCTACCCCCGCAAAAAGTTCAAAAATAAAGTACAAAATCATAATAATTCGACCAACTGTATAATTACATTTATCATGCAATGTCCTATCAATAAATCAATCAAATAGAAATTACAACGTGTTTTTATTGTAATTTAAAATACACCCGTTTTGGTATTTGCCATTAAACAAAATATAATCTACAGGCGACAAAATTTATGCTTAACGGTACGCACACTAATGACGCTCGGGACGAAGGGCAGAGGAACCCCCGTGATGCAGCTTCGAACAGCTGCGTCACTGCAAACGGGCGTGAACCTCATTGAGAAAAATCTAAGTAGAGTGGCGGGAAGAAGAAGTGACGGGTGAATTTAAAGGCGATTTGTGAGGATAATCCAAGTATAGTCGGTGCAGGGTTGTCCGATCATGGCAATAATACGTACATTGTAATCTGGACGAGGACGACGGATTGGAATGACTTTCCATGTGTTGACCGCCGCCCATGCGTCGTCGCTGTGCTTGTTCTGCTGTGTCCGACGAGTCCAACGAGAAGCTCTTCATGCGCGAATTGAGTTTTGGTCGCCGCGGACTGTGTGGAGCTGTAAATGTTCACACACGGACGGGTATGTACCCATGGTCAGAGAGATGGAGGGAAACAAGGTCAAAAGGTGACCGCGAGTCAACGTTTGGGCAGCTGAACCGAATACGAGCAACAAGAATTACCGGCGTGGTACCAAATAGAGGGAAATGGAAAAATAGAAAGTAATCGTTTCGGAGATGCAAGAAAAGGTACTAGGAAACATGGACAGCGAGTAAAAAAAATAATTCAACTGCCCAACGGTTAACTCGTGGTGGGTCTTTCTACATTGCGTCTAATTCGCTAAATTATTTAATTATTATGTAATACTATTAAACATGCATTAAAAAATGCTAATTGCAAAAAATGTTATGTGTTTTCTACGGCATGCAAACGGTACTGTAGGGTCAGACCCAACATAGTTGCGGTCTTGACGATGACAATGTGACAGCATTATAACAGTACAAATTTTAAAGGTTGTTATAAAGGTCGGAGCATTACTGGTGAATTTGATAAGCATGTTTTTATGTATGACATCTCAACTATGCGCATGAGTTATGAAAAAGTTTTAATGCTAACGAATTAATATTCAAATGTCAGTAAATTTTTATAGTATGATAAAAGCGAGTTTTTTAATTTCCGTAGATACTACAAAAGACTCTAAGGCGATAGACCTTAAGATAAATGGCACTACATTAAGGAAAATCAAAGTGTTGGTTAATAGTAAAATTTTTCTATCGTGTAAAACTGATGAAAATCATACCATTTGAAATTTATAAATAACTATGATGTACCATAATATAATAATAGGTATAATAATAATTTATTATTATTTAAAAATGCCAAGAAATATATGAAAAATGAATTGGCAAGCTTAAACATAACGATTTTATAATTTATGAAATTCAAAACAAACCGATAAGGTCTTAAACAGGTACACGCAGAAAGTATGTTTTATCAACTCGGAAGTTTACTTAAACGAGAGTTACTGTGTATTTTTGGTAAGTCAGGAAGGCGAACGTTACAGCGGAAAGACATACACAGTGGAAAATACGACGTTATTTACATGATTTTTGTAGCTAGACGTCATTAGGTAGCACACAAGCTGTTGTAATAATAACAATATTGGACGACGTTTATTGAGGTGCTCATTCATGGGATAGACTTGAATGACAAGGCTAACAGAGTGCAATAACTTGGCAGGGCGCACAGTAATAGAAACGTTTTTATGCGATAATGAATTATGAATAAACCAAGCTTTTAAAATCCCTTTAGAAGTTTTGCAACGTGCACGTGACATTTTTGATGGGCTATTTAATTATTAAAACACAATCAAACTACAAAAGTATTTTATCGATTCAAGGTTCCTTGACCTCCGTCAGCTGTTGGAATTCCAATGGTTAAAGAGTAAATGGTTTGTAAGCAATTTTCTAATGATTTTTTGATTGCATTACGAAAAGAGCCTATACTAGATGCCTGCGTCAGTGCACATGGATGTTTTTTTTATCTAAATAGTGCAATCGCCTTGTCTACGTCTAAATTGAACAACAGGCTATATATTTATCGTTGTAGAAGTACAGACCCGTGGGGACCGATTGGGTCCAAAAGTGTTTGTCCTGTCCCGGAGAATAGCCGGTGGTCTGGCCTTTATATATATATAAAAAAAAAAAAAAGAAAAAAAATGGTACAAAAGGTGAATTATAAAGTGATGTTTCAGTAAGCTTAGCAAAAGGGATTGTGTATTTTTTGTTTGGATCATAAATTTGTTTGAAATGAGAGGTAAAGGAAATTTGAGTGCTTCATGCACGTTGAAATAGTGTTTTATATGATATATGTATAAGGGTGTAATTATACATATATCATAACACCATTACAATGTCATTTGGGCAATTTATATTAAAAATGATGAAATTCTACCGTGCAACGATTGATTAAGACAGTTGATAGCTTATAAAAGGACGTACAAATTAAAATTAGAAGAAAAATTGTATGAAGGGTAATATACAGAGTGTTCAGTAAGTCAGGAAACGGGTTTCTATTGTTCTCATTGTTTGTAACAATGAGAACAATAGAAACCCGTTTCCTGACTTACTGAACACCCTGTATATATATATATAATGCACGAAAGATAAAATTGTAAAACGATCACAGTCATTGTATATTTATCTACGTATAAATACCAATAGAAAAACAAAAATTAGTGTATAAATATAGAACTTTTAGGTATAATGATTGTTTGAAGTATGAGTATGCCTGATGAATAAGAAAAAGCAAAGGCTCTTTAAGGAGATGCAGTAACAGAGTATCATAAAATAGTTGAATAACATGTACATATAATTATAATATGATATTAAGAATAAACATAGTGTTAAAAAAACTAGTAGATAAAATACGTGTAATATTTTTGTTAAAATTCGTGATAAAGTTACCATAGGTATCACTGAGATTTTTAACGGTATTTGTTGAAAATTTATTGACTTCAAGAAGAATATATTTAGAAGTTTATTCGCGTTAACTTAACAAATATATCAACACGTATTTTAACACTTATTTTCAGGAATTATACTTATCTTAAAAACTAAAATGATAATAATAAAAATAACAATAACAAGAGTAATACTATTTTAAAGATATTATCATGACAATATTCGTCCGAGGGTACATGGCGATTATAATCGATGAGTATTTTGGAAACAAGGGAAAACTAGGACCACAATAAGGTTTATTCATTTCTTGAAGGTGAAATTCTTCTTTGCCGCCATGACAGCACCAGCCACCAAACTTCGTCGGCGAACGGCTTGTTGATCTGGCTGTTGTTGGTGGTCGTCTTGAGTGTGATTGGGCAATACTAAGGGCTGTCCGAATGGCCTCGTACCCGCCGCGTATCTGACTTGTTCTGGTTACGCGACAGGGCGAAAAGGGACGAACGAGAAGAAATAAAAAATAAAAATAAAATGAAACATAAAAATAAATTCAAGTCGTGACATAAAAATAAAAATGTGATGAAGAACAAAAGACAAAAAATAAGTGAGTGAAAGGAGACAGGGAACCATGATTAAAAACGGATACAATAATACTACAGAAATAAAAAAATAAACTAAAATTCGTACTTTCGGGCAATGATATCGACCGGCCTTGTGTTTGGGATCTGCCACCGAACATTGTAAAGCTCTTGACGCCGCCGAACAGTCTCCGCCTTCTGGGCGCTGCCGATTCTGGTAGTCTGCAGGAGGCCGAAGACGTGCCGACGACGTGCGATTCTGCTAGGAGAGGACACACACGGTGCGCGAGATCAGATAATATGTATCCGTAAGATAATAAATATAGGAATATAATAAAAATATTATTGTTAACAAAAAAAAAAAAGTGAGCGTATAATATTACTACACATGTGTATATATAACAACCATTAATCCTTTCCAATCGTCAGAGGTTGAACGAAATATCGTTAATTGTTTTAAATGCTCGGCATTTCCTCTTTTGAAAAGTGTCTAACATGACAATCATAATTTTAAATCGATTAAAAAAATAAATAGTAATATCGACATTCTGACTCACGAAATCGGAATGGAGTAATGGCGTTTATGATACCAAATGGATGACCGTACGTTTTACTAATAAGGAAAAGTCTAAAGTAAGAGACTACTGTTGGTAGATGTATTTTAATTAGAAGTATCGAGTTTAACGTGCAAATGCTTGTATACTTATTTACTTATTATCGAAATGTAATGAGTATTACTTGATGAAAAATGATTTTGGTTAATAGCGTTTAATTGAAATCTGATATCACGTAGTATATACACACGTATAATAAAAAAAGTGCCGCCTGAGAGGTACCGGGTTGTTTGAGAACCGCGAGTCAAAATGTTATTATTTTTATACAGAGTGATCTCAATTTTAGATAAGACACTAATTTTCGGAGAAACCAATGAAAATTTCTAATTTTTGTAAAGATAAAATATATTTGATTAAAAAAACTTTACAATATTATGTAGTTAAATAAATATTATTTCATCCTTAAAGAGATATAAAATTTTTTTTAATGGAAATTCATATTTTTTATTTGATAAAACATGATAAAAAAAAAAAAAAATTGCAGAACAATTTTGTTTTTATAATTTTTTTATCTGATCAATGGCCTTTTATTACAATATGTTTAGTAATTAAAGATCAATTTTCTAATAATATTTCATTGTTAAGAATAAACAGAAGATTTTGTTTAGCTATTTTACTACATAAACTAGTTTTTATTGACTAAGGTCAAAATACGGACATTTTATATTTTGATAATTCATCCCGTCATCTTTTATTGTATGGGAAAAAATTATTCCACAATATATTTTCGTAGTTATAAGATCAAAATAATTGTTTTTTTTTTTACAAAAATTATAAATTTTTAATAGTTTCTCAAAAATCGATCATTTTATCTGAAATTGATAATCTTGTACAAACGATTTAAAATTGTATCACTTACTGTTGTGTTTACGTATACGATTGTTGTGTATTAAAAAAATATTATATTAACATTATATATTAAGTATAAAAGTTCAGCTTGCCCAAAGTCGAGAAGCATTAACATGCAACTTTTGTAAAAAATAAACTGTATATATAAAAATGTTTATAACAATATAACAGTATGTTTGCTATAGAAATGTGATAATAATAAAAGCATATTATAATGTTAATTATGTACAGCAAGCATAATGTATAAATATGAATATATATAATGTGTAGATATAATAGAAAAAACAATAATTAATTATAAATGTGTAAGTTAATAAAACGTTATTTTTATTTACAAAATAAGTAAAAATATATATTTATATTACTAAATAAATATAAATATACATATAATATGAGTGTACAAGAGGATGAGCGTGAAGATGGATTTTTTATTTTGTGCTAATAAATAAATGGAATTGGGTTTATTACAAATTTTTTATGGGATTTATTAATATTGTATTTGAATATAACCAAGTATTTCATACGGGTTGGATTATTGACCAATAGGTGTTTTTTTTAAGAGGCCATTATACTAAAAAAACAGTAATTGTATATGTATCATACTATACAGCCATCGTGCACCACGTTAGCCACGCCATATCAAGTTCAATTTTTTTTAGTGGTTATAAGTAGAAATAGGTTAGAACAATACTATATGAATAATACTGCTATTAGTTCAAAAAATATGAAAACTAAGTTTTTGAAAATAGAAGTTTTTGTAATATATATTTATATAAATATATATAAACAGGGTGATCTGTGAATCATGAACCACTGAATTACTCACAAATTAATTATAATTTTGATAATTTTTTTTTGTATTTTTTAGTTACATATAATTCTTGTTTAATCCACTATTAAGTATCTTTTGGTTCATCTCTTATGATTATAGAGGTATCAGTTTGTTTTTTTTTAATTAACACACAAATATATATTTAAAAAGCTTATAAAATATTAAATAATGCAAATGAAGAAGTTACTGGATGTTAAAAATTTTATACCAAGGTGAAGAAAGAGTGAAACTGAACAATGTCTAGTGATAAAAATAGTAGCACTCACTTATCCTCTTCAGTCATTACTTCAAACTGTTAATAACTTCTGAAATAAAGGTCCAAAAATTTGTTATCGACCAATAGTTTTCTCAATTACACTATTTTTTTTGTTACAAGTTAGTCAAATATGTGTTTCCAATAAAAAAAAAAAATGTTGATACTCCTATAACGCATAAAGGATAAACCAAAAAAATACTTTATAGTTGGTTAAATTGTAAATTATATGTAACCAAAAAAAATTCTTATTATTTTACAAGTATTCGAGAAATTAATGATTTGCGGATCACTCTGTATATGTTAATCATAGTTACAGAAAAACACATTCTAGTTATGTGTATAGAATAAAAATGTAACAACTATATGACAGAGAGAGAGAGAATAAATGTTAGTAGACAATAACAGGTACAGAGAGAAAGAGAGTGCAATAAGTAAAAAAGCTAAATACTATACACTACAAAAAAACATGCAAGGGAACACATAGAATATTTATACATATTTTATAAAAGTTTAGTAATAGTAATAACAAAACGGTCGTGCAGACCTGAGCTGGACGCGTTTGGTGGTGACGTGACGTTCAACGTGGCCGCGGTGCCCGGTCTGCTCAAACTGTTTGGCGGGTGATGTTGGTGATGTTGTGATCTGGGTTCAGCTGGTGGCCCAACAATGGATTGCTGCCGGCCTACGCCTGATCTTGGCGAAGTACGGATTTCCCCGGCCTGTTTCAACACCTGATACACTTGATCCACTTGCTCTGTCTGGGGTTGCTGGCCGCCGGCACCACCACCGCCGCCACCGTCCGCACCGGATATTACTGCGCATACGGGTAAAGAGAGGAACAAAAAAAACCAATAACACCAAAACCAAAATTGGCAAACCACACACGGACCATAACAACAAAAATAAATACAAACAAGTTCTTATAATATTTATAATGTTTTTGGAATAAAATATTTATTAACAAATACAAAAAAAAAAAAAAAAATACGATATAAACAATCAGATTTCTTTTGATTTTTGTAGTTCGGATAATTTTGTTTTGATATTGTGCATTTTTTCACACCATTCTGTGTACGGAAAAATTCGAAAACTCCATCAGTGATCGATAAATATTAGTTTTAGCAGTAAAAAAATAAAAATGTAAATAAAATATAAAAATATACATAAATGTTTTTAGTTCAAAATAAAAAATATAATAGCGTAAGGAAAATAAATTTATTTACACTTTATAAACTTCCTAATAATTTATATCAAAATTTAATTGCTTTTTTACGGAGCCATTATTTAAAATTAGTTTGATGTAATCACTTTTAAAATCATTTGATTTCGTCATATTTACAGTTAGATATTTTCTTTAATAAAATAATATTATTTCCAAAGGTTTATGGTATATTGGACAATAAACTTATTAGAATATCTAAGAAATGGAAAGATTTTACTAAAGTTTTTTCAACAAAATACTACTAATATTAGTTGATTTTTAAATACAAACGTTATATTACCTATAACGAAAACTCGAAAATGTTCACTGTGTTGTATTTATTTATGTGGAATATACTAGAAATATTTTTTACTGTGTTTATACTTTTGCTGATATTTTTCTTGCCTGTGCTCAAAATTGAGAAGTTTGTTGACCCTTGAAGTGTACACGCTTAAGATTAGTTATTGATTCATTAAATTTAACGCTTGTCGAAGAATTTGAGGTCTTTTAGATTTATATGGTCATCAACCTTTATTCTGACTTTTGACTTTAGTTGCCAAGGATTACAACTGACTTGAAAATTGACATGAACTACGGTTGCGGTTTGTTTATTTAATTATTTTATGTGAAAGGTGGGCGTTTGATTTCTGTAATAATTGCTATTTCTACCGGCGTAACTCGTTCAATAGAAATGAAGTAAAGAAAAACTAAAAGAATTTGTCACGTTTATTATTAAGGATCGCACATTGAGTGACGGGAAACTTATGACGAAGAGGTCCCTGTTGGTATTCTAACGATTTACATTCACTAAACTAAGGAGAGATTATTCAAATATTTAGACGCATTATTACTAACAAGTAAGTAAAATAAGGTCATATAATTGGCCAGTACTAAAACTTTTGATATTGAACTAAAAATGGCTTATTACACTATGCCATAAAGACGGAAAATTATCAATTTTACAAAAAAAACCCGTTCGTCAAAGTAATTTACTTAGATTTCTGGGCGACTTAAAATGTAAAATCTTAACAAAAGAAATCGCGTGAACAGTTGCGTAATGACAAGCTGTCAATATTTTTTGTTCGAAACATTATAATCGACGTGACGGCCTCGTTAATTGTTATAAGAATGAAGATTATTTTTTTTTTAATAAAACGTAATGTTCTATTGTCATCTTATTGTTTTACCTTTAGCCTAAAATCGATTGAGTAAAAATCGTTTTAAAAAATGCCTTTGTGGCTTTTAAAAGAACAGTAACAGTCACCTTTAAAACCAAAAGTATTATAAGCGACCGTATTGAAAAATAGTAATAAAGTCATTCGTTTATTTCGTTACGAAAACATTCTTAATAAATTTGTTACTTGACACATAAAAAATTGCTGTCGTTTTAAAAGTGACGCATACTTAAAAACAAATAAATTATATTGATAAAGGAGACTGGCGAGTGAAGAAATGAAGTTTAATGTTCAATCGAGTCAACTTTTTTGTGTACCACGGAGTTCATATAACCTTTGTTGTAACAGTGCACTGAAACTTATCTTTTGTAATCTTCATCTTAAAAACGGTTTTCCATCTCAGTTTGTTATTTATATTCTTTTAAACTCAAGTTAGTAGATTTCTCAGTTGAAAATCCACAAGAAATTGTAAGGGCTCTTTTCTGTCTCGTTCATAATATTCTACCAATAGCTATTTTTAATAAAAACTAAGACTCATTATTATTTCTTCGTATGAAAATTGATAAAAATGACGTATATCAATTTTAATCTAACGTGCCTGACGATTTCAAAATCTTTCGATGAATAAAATGACTTGTAGCAAATTTAAAATTTAATTTACGTAGGGAATAGTATTTTAGTGCGATTTATTAAAAATGAAATATTTACACATTTTATTCAAGTTTCAAAGTGAATGTTCATATAGTTTATTTAACGCGCAGTAAAATATTTTCATAAATTTGAATTCATAAAGTGTTTTTCATGCTCAAACAATTTTCATTTCATGAGCTGACCGTGGCGTTTAAAAGTGCGAACATCAATGTCTGTCAAAATCACATTTCCGTATTTTAAGTTGAGATTGTGTTCGCGGAACGGTTCACTTTTTTACAAATTTGAAGTTTTACCCAGCATGTTTACGGCACAATATTTTTAAATGCAACTAAATCACAAAAAAAAAAATATACCTTATTTTACCATTAAACTTATAGTACATACCTCAGTGTCTATTTGTTTTTTAGGAAATTTCATAATCNCAAATGCAACTAAATCACAAAAAAAAAATATACCTTATTTTACCATTAAACTTATAGTACATACCTCAGTGTCTATTTGTTTTTTAGGAAATTTCATAATCAATACTGACAAATGGAAAATATCTTACATTTGTCTTTAGTTAATGCCGTACGACTCGAGTACATGGACTTTCCTTACATCACGTATCGTCTAACATTGTTTAAGACTTATTGCCTTTAGGGTAATAATGCTAACGTAATAATTTTCTTAGAAGAAATACGATTATTTATCTTATATTATTGAGTAGGGCACACATTTTTCGAAACGAAATCACTGCAGACTTCTAGCATCACTCATCTATGAAGGAGAGCCCATACTACTCCTTTGTATTGCTATTACAGTCATGTCTCGTGAATGAGATTGTTTACCTTGAAATTAGTAAGAAATAGTTATAATAATACATTTTATTTTCCGACCGCTGTAATTACGTGCTATTCTTTTCATAAGATTTCCCTGTTATCAATAATGTTCCTGGGAAATTTCTTTTTTCGGTTTATTGAACATCTCATATAGTCGGGTAGCCAAAAACCTTTTAAACTATCGTTTTCGGATACATTTTCTCTAGATGCCCTTCACGAGCACCACCGTTTAAGCAACTCTTTAATATAGTAATTCATTTAAAATTTTTATTTTTAATAAGTTCCCATTTTCCATCTCCTGTTTCATTATATTAATTTCTATGCTCTGACGTTAGCGTGACGTTCGAGTTCAGAATATACTATTTAAAGGCCATAAATCTTAAGTGGTCTTTTTTATTAGCATGGGCTATTTTTAATTTCCAGTTGTGCACTGAGATGTAGATACTGAGTTTTACAACATTAGTTATGCAGCTTTAATCGAGATTTTTTCGTTATTTGTGATTAACACCCGATATGATACAGAAAACAATTAATTTTCTTTTTTAATCATTAACTTATGGCGGCACACGTAGTTAAGTATACGTTCTGGCGTTTGAGATTTTAGATTGATAAAAATCAATAGTAGACAAAATGTTGTCAACACGTAAATTCCTTTGAATGTCTCATAAGGATAATAGAAAAAATATGAACTAAAATTACTAAATTTATAAATATACTAATTTCGATTCTTAAGCTATAAGTTCCTAGTATTGATTTCTAATATGTTGAATATCTATTCTTATGTCAAGCCGACTAAAGATCAACATAAACTACACACTTTCTACTCTCGAATTTGGTTAGTTATACCACTACATAAATAGTTTTTTATCGGATGTTAACTAAAAGGCTTAAAAATATAGACACAGTAAAATCATTCGTTAGTTTGGCGAAAAACATAAATAATTATTAAAACACAGTGAACTCAATACGAACGATGAGCGCAAATACTATTTTTGTTAGTTACTAAACTCTATCACACGATTGGTTTGAGATACTGTTCATATTGGAGGGATGCGATTGCAATTTGCGCAACGTAAATTGAAATTCAATATAAAAAAAACAGTTGTGTTTTAAATGTAATTATTATTAAAGTATAATAAAACACATCACTCAAATTGAACAGCGTGCATGGACTTTGTACAAAATTAAAAGTGTAAATAAATAATAATAATGATAAAAAAAAAAAAGAAAAAAATGAATAAAGAGTAAAACAAAAAATAAAAATCGTAAACAATAATGAATATTCTAATGAATGTGAATACAAATATAATTTCGTCGTTATTTACAACCCTAAACAATGTACACGGTAATTATAATATGTACATATGGCGACTTTGGAAAGCTGAATTTTTTTTAATAAAAAAATAAATAAATTAAATAAAAGATAAACAAATATATATATATATATATATATATATATTTGTATAAACTAATAGAGAATAATAAACAAATAATAAAAAAAAAAAAACGAAAATTATCCTTCGCTATGTAAAAAAATGGCGAGTGGGATAATAATCGTATAGAGTTTTTCGAATGATTGAAATCAAATGTTATTGTGTATTGGACAGCAATAAAAAATTTGACGTTTTCCGTCAAATGTCTGGTAATAGAGGAACTCATATAAAGCGTAGGTGTATGGTGTGTGTATATGAGTGAGTGTACCTGTAAAATACAGTACACATAATATTTATGTTTTGTACCCAGCACCTTTGTTACGGCACTTGGCACTGTTCTATATACGTCCTGTGATCATCAATGATAAATACATTTAAGAACATTTTCGTTTTAAAGCGTTTAATATATTTCCCAATTAACTCACCTTCGTCGTCTAGCGCTGCAGCCGAAGCGGATGAAACGTTCATCGCAGCCATTTTGGTTTCAATTTCCGACGTGGATTTTTGTCGGCGTAATAAACGCGATTTGACCTGACACCGAGTAGTCACTTTTTCTTGGCAGTCCAAGTGCACGTTCATCTTACACACTCGACATTTAAGTCCTTGTCTGGTGTGCCCTGTGAAAAATATAAACACTATTATTAATTAAATGTTGTTAACGCGGCACGTTTCAGAAGCCTATCAACGTGTGTATTAATTAATTATAACTAACAGAGTATACAACTAGAAGTCATTTTCAGTAGTTTCGATCAAAGGCCGACAATGGAGCTTTCAGGCGAAATTTCTCTGTGTAGTTAAATACAAACGGGGGCCGACATTATTTTGCTGTAAAAATAATACTCCCGAGGAGAATACTCTAATGTTTAGGCTTAACTAATCCATAAATGATTTATAACTAGTCAACTCATACGATTTTTTTTTATTTTCCAGATTAACTGCGGTTCTTTCTAAATTGACCGACAGTTGACCTAAATAAACGATAAATGAACTGTATCCGTTACAAGAATCTGCCACTGAGTAACAGTGGCACCCGGACCATTAAATTCGTTTCTTTTTACAGACAGTCGTCGTTAAAATGGCAACGACCTCGGAGGTCGTTGAAAACATTCTGACATTATTTTAGTGTCACTGAGATAAGTGATGGGAATGCGACTGTAATAGATTTCTTGCGACATACTCGACACTCGCATTCCAAAGCGATAAGATATGGTGTGGGCGCTACTGGAGATACTAAAAGCATTATTATCCGTATAGTCTTTAACAACTAACCGTGAAAAAGGCTCAATCGGAGAAGACCAAGTATGAAGTTTTTTTACAACGATAATCACTAGAAAACGCCATCATGTGCGATTACAACGAAGAACAAGCTAGTGACGTACTAAATGTTATATAAATATAATGACAATAGTACAAAATGAGCAGAAAATGTTTGTAACGACACCCAACTTGAAAAGAAAGAGTATATTATTTTGTAACTGTAGTCTCAAACAAAGGTATCGGATAAGTTAAGCGGTTTATATTCACTTGAAAAACATTGGAGTTTATTTATTTTGAAACTTAATAGCAATTGTAGTGTAAAAAATTTGGAACTTTAAGTGAGATGAAGTCAGGTGTGTAGTTTCAAAATTAGCTAAAAGTAAATTTTTGAAATTTTCCAGCGACAACAAAAAAAAGAAAATATTTTTAATAAAGTTATATGAAGGAAACGATTTTCCAAGTGTAGTTAAGATTAATTATCATTTGTCAGGTGTTAAATATTTTTACAGATATTACATTATAGTAATCTTTAAGGAAATACAAAAAAAACAGTTTTGAAAAAATATTGTTTTGGCTGATTTTGAAAGTTCACGCTTCAATTATGGACGAGAAATTAACATTATTTAATATTACATCTTTGCTCGCTTACAATCAAGTTATCATACTTTGAAATAATATACAGATGAAGATGAATTTTTCAGAAGAAAATTTTGTTATTTTAGTTTTTTTTTTTTAATTTTAACCGTAAAAAATTCGTATAAATAAAAATACAAATTGTTCAATTTTAATTTAATCTTAGTGCAATATTTAACTCACTCTTATATAAAATAGTGGCATTCAATAAAACTATTATAAGATTTTGAGAGAACACTTATCAGTAATGACACTGATGAACTTGACTTTTATCAATTTAGTTTGTACTTAAAAACTTAGTATAAATTCTTATACATTATTTTAATAATAAACAAAACCAAAATATTAATGGGAATTGTTAATTTTAAGGTGTAATCGTAAAGTACAATTTAAAATTTCTAATGTTTAGCGGATAATAAATTCAAATAAATTGAGTTATTTGATATTTAGGTTCAAAGTTTGTTTTCACTAATAAAATGTAAATGCATACTATTAATTAACAAAACCTGTTTTTCTTTGGTAATTAAATACAATTATGAATACTAAGTTTATTCAATAACCTAAATTTTAAAACTAAATTTTTTAATTATAATTAAAAACGGAACTATAACGATAAGAAAATCATATATTGTACTGGGTGAAAATTGTAAAATAAATTATATTAATAGATTTCATTTAATGAATGTTTTAAGGTAATTATTGTTCGGATTATTTTTTATGATAACTTAAATTTAAATAAGTAACCAGAGCGGTGTAATTCGTAAAACATATTTATTATGGTTTCGTGTACATATAATTTACCTAAGCTAAATGTGAGTTGGCTACAGAATAATTAGAGGGATCATATTTAAAAACGAATCACAGTCTAAATTCTTCCGAGAGAATTTAATCATTATGACTTTTTTTGTTTAGACAAAGATAATAATGTAAGGATTATAAAGAAATTCACCCCAGCTCAAACATTCATTTACCGAAACGGGTTTTGCACAAGTTTGATCAAAAAGAAAATAATAAACTGATATGCTGCATTTATTGAATTTTAAGTCAAGATTTTTATTACGTATTTCTTCCATAGAACACTATACCACGACACATTTTCTTCTACTACAGTGCTTTCATTTGATAAGTAATGAAGACAGCGAAGGGTTTTAAATTTCAATAAGTTGATCAGTTGAAATAGTAAAATAATAGTTTCAAAAATGTGATAAATCAGTTATTAAACGTTTATACTTTTAAGATTATGTATCTTCATTATTCTGCTTTATACAACCAGAATGATATTGGGCATATTGAGGAAGATGAATCAAACTTTGATAGAAAAAAATTACTAATTAGCAATTAAATTAGCAAAAACAGTCTATGTCAAAAATATTCTATGGAATGATAATTACGAACGCATATGATGCAATATATATTTGTATTATTTCAAAAACGTTTCTCTTCCATGAATAAATTATCATAGCGTCTTAAATAATGGATCATCTACAGAGTACAAACCATCGAGCTTTAAAATATTCCCTGACCTATAAAAATATTATTGTACGAACTAAATGTGTACTCTGACTGTAAATGCTTTACTTGGTTTCGATGTTGTTTTATTAAAGTTTGCTAGTTTACGATACAGCATAATATCATACCAACTATTTTATGAACGTACTTTTTAATCGAGTTTCCCTACCACATCAAAGATTCACGATTCTTATTAGAAAACTAAAATACTGAAACTGTGTCTATTGTTTAACTCTGAGCAATTTGACATTTATTATTTAAAACAAAGTTTTAGTGTTGAACTTTCTAAAATTGGTGGTTTTAATTATTGTTTTTAATATTAAATGAAATACATCTAAAACAAATTTCGTTAAATAATCAAGAACTTCAATTAATTTATAATTCACATCGAAGCGTTATAAATAAATAAACAATTTTTTTCTTATCATAAATAACGAATAGTAAAATAATTATTTGATTAATAGTAATTCAGTATTTTTTTTCGTGCGTATTTCGTATAATCGCGTTTTCTTACACCATTAATTTGATACGAAGTAAAATACATTTTAGTCAATTATCATTTGGACTTGTTATAGTAATAAAATGAATATGTCTACTAAATAAGTCATTCGATGCATTGCCAATTGTACTCAAAATAAACGTGTTACATACAGCAGTGATTTGGGGTGTGAAATAAATATGACGAATGGGATTGGTTTTTCAGGTGTTGCCAGGGTCGTCTCTTTTATAACGAAATTTTATAACTTTACGGCTAAATCCTAACATGAAAACTGTTTTCCCCTCTGTCATACGTCATAGGAAAAGGAACACACTGTGTTGACACTGAGCGTTATAGTAAATATTTTTCAAACTTCACCCAGTCCTAAATGCCGTCACCTCTCGTGCGACGGGTGACAACGACCATAGCGTCAACAAAATTATATTTTCGGGGCTTCCGCAAGTCTCAACGTCGGCGATACACAAATTGGATTCGATTAGGGGCTTCCAATATAACAAGACGACGACGACGACAACTACGACCACCACCACCACTCCTACCGACCACTTTCTATCGGCTCTGGATAAAACACTACGTGAAACGAATCTCGATATTCTTCTTCTGGTTTTCTTCAGCGCACATTACCACTTACCGTATTCAAAAGTTATTATTATTCGTACGTTTTCTACGACGCAGTAAAAGCTTTCCCGTGGATTTTACCCAAATGCTCACTAACGCAGTCGAGAACATATATTACGTGTAAATGAACCTTGTTTGTGTTTTACTGACCAAAATGACCAACTAGTACATCTACAACTCTCTTGTTATGACAACAGTTTACGTGAATCGATATGTGTCGGGATATGTGTCAATAATATTTTATGAACATTTTATTCAGCTAGTTTCAACTTCATTGTAAGTTTACCAAATGTTTTTGTTTATAAAATAATTTTAAACCGGAAAGTTAGCAAAACCCAGCACTTAATTGAATTTTAATGGCCATGTAATTCCGCGCTAAAAAGTAAATAAGTAAGATTATACTTTAAGAAATTCTAAAAGTTACACAATTATCATTGTAAACATGGAGAATATTCATAATCATCTTTTGAGTCCATATCTCAACTATTTGGAGTCGGCTCTATCTTATTGATTTGGCCGGTTTTCACACCAGCTGTCGATCTCATTATGGTAGAGGGAACTAGTAAAAAGGCAAGGCGTGTGTCAAGTTTCGGTATGATCACCTATTCGAGAACTTCATCAAGTAGCGCAGCTGAACATCAGCGCTAAGGCGGAGACTGAAAGATCCACTGCGCCGCCACATCACAATCCACGCCGGAGAAAATAATATTAGACAAGAAAAAATTTAAATCAATAATAATTATCAATTACTATTATATAATTATAATCTAATATTACTATTATAATTAATTATATTAATTTGGGAAGATCAAAAAAGAGATGAAGGGATTTAATTGAATGCTATATGACGACGGTTGATATGAGCGTAGATGATGTGGGTGATCGTGTCAAGTGGAATTTTAAGGTAAAGGGGGCTGACCCCAAGTAATTGGGATTAAGGCGAGGAACAAAAAGAGAAGAAGAATTAATTATTACTATTTTTATAGCGATAATATTAATAATCATTAATTTGATATAATTATGACAATTTAAATATTAAACACAAAATACTTTTATAATTAAATATGGGCGAATTTTATTCTTTAATTCGTTTGTTTACTCTGTGATTTAATGATAATTATGTAAAATAATGTAGAAAAATTAATGCATTTCAAAATATTATTTCGTGCTATGATTAATAGCTATATGATTTTTAAAATACTTTTTGTCTTATGAAAACTACACGTGGAAACCTTGAGGGATTTTTTTTTAATATACAAGAGCATTGTGTATTACGGCACTTGTGACGAGTTTTAACGCAATAAAATATTATTGAGATGGGTACAACATAATGGATTATGTACGTTTGACTAGTCCTTTATGAATATTAGTTTACAACCTTATGATTTTTGGAGTAAATACCAATAAAATCTGTCGAAAACATCGAGTTTTACTACAACGCAATAACTAACGTCAATTCAGTTTCCTAGTCACTGACGGTGGATTAAGAGTAAGGAATTTTATTTTCTGTTACTGAACTTGATTTTTGAGATCTATAAGAACTTTAAAACTAAGATACTTTTCAATTGTATCGAGTCGTTTTAAATAAATTATAATATTTTGAAGCTTTTAGACGAAATGGCCTTTTTTCAAAATATTATCTAGTTTCATTAGATAGACAGTTTTATATTTAAAAAATTAAATAATACAATGTATTTTTAAAGAAAATGTTGCTTTAATGATACACAATGATAATTGTATATAATATATATTGTGGATCTGACTGAATATACAATTTTATAATTACACGAGAAATGGGTATAATATATTATTTCATAGTTAAATTGTTTGATGAGGGTATATAAAAATTAACTTAGCTTTATAAGAGTTCTCTGGTAACTACGGAATCATTTTCCTCTTCATTCCTATTAACATTTTACGACTTAAACACTAATACTTTATCTGTTATCAATCAAAATCTGTGTTTTTTTTATTGACTGTATCAATAATTAGAGTTTTTTTAGTATTATTATTTTAAATATGATTATCTTAGTCTTAATAACATTAATAATTTATATATTAATATTTATTAAGTTTAATAGATAAACGAGGGTTAAATGACTTAAATTAAAACACCAGTAAAAATACATTACAAGCGTTTGATTAAATTTTTTTGACTTAAAATGAAATTTGCTCTGAAGAACAATAAACTTAAATCAAGTATCTTACCTCTTAAAACTTGAGAGCAGAAATCGCATGGTGTAATTTTCTTATAAGTGTATTCTTGGAATTGATGTGCTGTTTCCGTGTTTGCCGAAAACTGAGGATTCCCGTCTCGACCGGTTTTCCTATTTACAAATAAAAATTAAAACAATAAGTATATAAAAGATATTTTTTTAAGGGGTAATTAATCATTCTATAATTATTTTTTTCATTGTTTATTTAAATGAAATGAATATAAAGAGCACACAAGACATCGCACTTCATATGTCATTTTTGGTATTTTGACAAAATAATTAGTAATGTAGTCATAGTCCCCAATTATTTCAAATGTCCATTTCAAAGTAAACTTTGAATAAATGACGGGGAATGTCCAGTGTACAAAAAACAGTGGAACACCCACTGGTTGTAACTGATAGTACGGGACTTGAAAGCATAGCACTTGTGCAGACTCGATGTTTTAATAAATGATTATGATATGTATAAATAAATTGCGATTATCCGAAGTCTTATAAAAATTTCGAGACTAGCCAACCTCAGCAATAATGGCCTAATTGACCGTACATATTGTGACGATAAGATAAACGAGCTGTTCTGAAAGTAGGGTGTTTGATATAAATTATCCTTTGAATCAGAGTCGATATGACGGGTGAGTCAGGACTTGTATTAATTGTTTTACGCCGACTTGGCCTGGTTGTAGATACAACACATAAATATGCATGAATATATATTTAGCGTCAAAACATATTTGATGCCTCTTTCCGAGTTCTTCCGTCGGTATAATACGGGTCAATACAACCCCTCAAACTAGGGAGCCGCTAAAAAGGTTGTCTCTTGACTATTCAGTACGGTTTAGATCAAAAGTAGAAGACTAAAAGAGGAGTACTCGTTAGTCACCATCACAACCAATTTCTCTCTTTTCCGATTTAATTACCAGTCTTAACTTTAGCCGTATATACATAGATATTAATAATTATAGAATTAAAAATCTGTATGATTCTCAAGACTCTAGTTTGGTAGCGAACAATTGTATTTTAAATAGACAACTGTGACGTCTACTACATAAAAATATTAAAATAATAATAAAGAGACAATTTTTATAATGCGCGTGTTGCGTTAGTGGTTAAAAATTCAACCCTCGTTTAATTATTTTTTTCTCTTTGTATAATATATACTGTTAGCATTAATTGCTGATACAGTCACTTTTCCAATTTGTTGATTTGTTTTCTGTAAATGTTAGTTTTAAGTGATATAATTACAATACTCTACATTTTTTAAGTATTACTACATATATTAAAAAGTATTAAATAAATATCTATAAAATATATATAACTATAAGAAATTTTTATGTTCAAATTAATAGATACAATAGAGCAAAGTAAAAAAAATTTTGAATGATGAAATTACTACATACAACGTTTATTTATAAATGAAGTAAATTTATAATTGTAAAATAAATCATGTTAATTACAATCGAAATTAAAAGTATTTTCCACTTTAAACATGTGTATTTATATAAACGTAGGTAATGTAAATAGATCGAAGCCACGCAATTTGATAGTTGTTTAAGTTGAAAACGAGATTTGCTGAACAAATAACCAACTACAAATTAATCTTTATGTATTTACATTTGATTGCGTATTTAAACATTTATGATATAATTATGATGAATATACAACCTTTTTAAAATAGAAATAATTAAAAACTTGTTGGAAAACGTGTACAATTAATTAATTTTGACGTTTTTACTACCAAATAAAAACAGCAAAAAAAATGTTTCCAACGGAATGTGAAAATATTTTCGAAAAATATATAAGGTAAATGAGATAATGTGACAAAGGGTAAAATGAGTTAAGATTTTGTTAAATATTTAATTTTGCCTTGTTTTTCACCTAGCTCATTAATGAACACTTTTCAGTGTTTTATTACATATTTTCACCGTTTATTTTAATCTGATATATTTTTTGTTTGTTCCAAGTACCAATGAATTCTTAGAAATTACATATTAGTCACGTTTAATAGTTTTATTGATGTCGAATCGATCATAAAATAGTTTTGCAATTTTTAAACTGACAAAGTTATTTTACAAAGAAAGAATGAGAAAAAAATATCACATTCATTATATGTATATGTTATCCCGCATATATTTGTATCTTTCAAGTTCAGTAGTCACATAATAAAAAAATATTCAATGATTATGTGCGGAATATTATAACGGAAAACAACACAAACTGTTTTGTTTCTATTTTTGGTTTTAACGGATGGCTTGCTTGATTCCTTTTTGAAAGTCATGCCGTTTGTCTTGCCGCATCAAAGCACATCCAATAGGATTACCGGCGAGACACAGTCCTCCATTATCCATCTTAAATATTTTTGTCATTTAAAAGTAACCTTTGAATAATTGAAGGATATGCCAAGAGCAAGTGCTAAGTATTCGAAATATAGGAAATGTAATCCTATTCGTTACTTTTTCTTTTTTGTCACAGTTGACAATGACTTCTATAACTTAACGGTATAAAGACACGGCTAACGTTATTTTGAACACCAATGAAGCGATCAAAGAAATGAAAGAAATAACATTCAGCTGGAAAATTCACCTCTGTTATTTCGTTTGGTTTAGTTTTTATTTTCTGATAATTTTATGAAGTTTTGCAAATGTTTTTAAACCATAAATCGACATTGTAATAATAAAGATGAAATATTATGAGACAACAGGTGATGATAGCGTTCATGTTTAATGATATAAAATAAAGATAATAAAAATTAAGTTTATATGGAAATATGTGTTTAATAAAACATAGAAGTAATATTATTTTTTATTCTATTATTTTAGATATTTTTCCTTGTTGGTATTTAGTGAACTATTCATTTGTCCTTTTCAATTCAAATTTTAATCTAGTAATCAATTAGAATAGAGTTATAACAACAATTGTATACTAAAATAACTAACAAATATTTAAACTTTTTATTTTTTGAGAGATTATTTCAAGTATAATAAACAAAAAATGATATAATAAATTAACTATTCGATGGTAATTTATAAAGAGATGCGTGTAAAACAATTATTACAAATCTAATATAATTTTAAGTTTAAAGCTGAGTTTAAAATTTCAATTTATTTCCTAGAGATTATATGTTTTTTCTTCTTCCTTGCCTCAATCCCAGCTTCTTGGGGTCGACCACTCTTATCCTAAACTTCCACTTGACACGATCTCCCACATCATCTATGCTCACATCAGCTATTGAATGCACATCGCATTCAATTGCATCCCTCCATCCCTTTTTTGGTCTTGCTCTTCTTCCGTCAGCATTCATTTCTATAACTGTTCTTACAGCTTCCGATTCTTCTCTCCTCATAACACGATCATACATCTAAATTTATTTTCTTTTATCTTATCCACGACTGACGCTACACCTATAATCCCTCTTATATGCTCGTTTGTTATCTTATCTTCTATAGTCACTCCACTCATTCATCAAAGCATTCTCATCTCTGCTACGCTCATCTCTACTCTACTTTCTTATCAACCAGCCAATACTCTGAACCATACATCATAGCTCACAACAGTCTTGTAGAATTTACCTTTCAGCCTCATTGCAATTCTTTCATCGCATAAGACGCCAGACGCTTCTTTCCACTTTAACTACCTGCACTTAATCGTGTGTCTTACATTCTCATCTATACCTTCGCTCTTTGGCACAACTGACCCTAAATACTAAACATTTTCCACCTTTCCAATCAAGTCCTATTGTCATTGATCTCTCCATTTTACTTACCTCGTGTTATCCTTTGTCAAACTCGTACTCTATATATTCTGTCTTGCTTATACTTACTCTTAAATCCATTTTTTTAAGAGCTGATCACCACATCTCTCGCCTATGATTAATTTCCTCCCTATTTTCTACTATTAACATTATGTCATCAGCAAACAACATGCACCACTGTACCTATCCTTGTATTTCTCTAGTAATTTCACCCATCAAAGAGAATAAGAGAATAAGTGAGGGCTTATAGCAGAATCTTGGTGTCTATTCTTACCCGAAAATCTTCGGTTACTCCCCCTAAGCTTTTTATCCTGGTACAAGTGCCATCATACGTATCTTCTATTATATTAATGTACCTTTTCGGGACTCCTTTTCTTATTAGTGCCCACTTTAAAACCTCTCTCGGTACTCTATCATTCGCTTTCTCCAAATCTATAAATACCATACACAGCTTTTTCTTCTTTTCCCTAAACTTTTCTATTAGTTGCTTCATACAAAATAATGGCCCCATTGTTGACTAGTAATACATCATCCAGGGCTTATATGTTTAAATTTGAAATAGAATTAAGTTATATAATTTTTTAAAATTAATATTAGGTAAACAAAAAAAGTTTTTTACAAATTTATGAGCTTATATTATACAGTATAATAACTTAAATGTTCATATGAATATAAATATTTTACAAATAACTTTTTATATTAAAGAAAATAGTAACATGTGTTTTTGTTTTTAACTAAACAAAAATTATACATTTATGGGTTTTTTGTTTTAAAGTAGCTACTTGAAAATTTTTTAATCTAGAGTTCAGAAATATAGTAAAAACTCTTAATTTTATTTGAAGAATACCAACAATTTTTATGTATTATTATTGTTCAAATATTCCAGTAAATTTTTTCAATAGTGTCTTACCAACAAATGTTAAATATATTAACTACACATTTTAAAATTAAGAAATACCATTTCTAGACATATTATCGAAATTTAAAAATGCCCCGAAACTGACTGAAACCTGTATAATGTTTAAGCCTGTGTTTACACATTTGAAAAAAATGTTTTTTTACATTTAGAGTATTTATTCGCCATGTACTAAGCTTACACAGGGGCGCCGGAAATATTTTTACATGGGGGACAAAAATTTAATGACCAAAACTCGGTCCCCTTGGTTGTTGCTAAGCTAAAAAGCGGGTTAAGCTATTTTTTGGTCGATTTTAGTGATCATTTAAAAGAATCCGGTAATTTATAAATTTTACTCTCAACAATACATATTATTAGCTTCGATACAAAGTTGAGACGGTATTGATTTTACCATGAATGTTTATTTATTTTTTTTTTTTATGCCTATCACTACTTATTCTCAGCTCT